CTCAGAGAATACAAGAAATCCGTCAGGCAGATACTCAGTGACAGAACCAAATGAATACTGTTCGGTAAGTATTTTAATAACGCAGCGTTTTCGAAGCATTTCCCCAAGATTATTTCTAACCGGCCTTGTCTTATAGTCGCAAACTCCCTTAAAACAGTAATCAGCTTGAAACCAGTTGAGCAAGCCTACGACAGGAAGTTGTTAATAATATGCTTCCAAGTTCTCCTGTAATACTGATATTAATTACTTTTGTAAAAGAAGAACTTGAATGTCCTTTGTCATGCAAATTGATCAGTAGCAAAAATCCATCACCTTTGGAATTCCACCACCTCACTTGAACTTGCAGCAGACTTTGGTACACCCTTTGATTAATGGAACCAAGCTTGTTTGAACAAGTCTCCGAGTGCCTTTCAGTGTCACCAAAGCACAGCCCGTGGGCTGTGGCGCGTCAGTGTACACTAGGAAGCCTGGGCCCTCGTCCTGGTGCTCGTGGCCACTCAGTAGCTCGTGGCCACTCAGCCCGCAACCTCTCAAGACAGGTGACCATCTCCTGAAGGGAGGGCCAGGGCTGTGCCCCCTGTTTCCTCCCTCCTAGAGCTCCTCCTCCTTCCCTGACTCACCCGAGGGCCGCAGAGCTGGACCTTTGCCGGGCCATGTGGATTTAGCCGGGTTAGAATTAAGATGGTATCATTAGCTGCGCACAGCGTGACTTCCCACTAATCCTTTCTGCAACTTACAACAAGTTTAAATGTCCATGCATGATGTTATTAACTGGCTTTAGTAAGTGCTTAAGACCCAGATTTCTTTTTAAAGTAATCTCTGAACAAGTTCTACTGTATCCACCCAACAAGGAGATTACTATTTCCAGCAAATTTGATAGGGGAAGATGCTCTCTGAGTCCCTAATGGGCAATAGGGTTAGAGATGGAAGTCGATCCAGGGGAGAGCGGACTGGGTTCACCAGCCCCGGCTCGGATTCACGAAACTTCTTCCTCCCTTAAGACCTTCCCCGTCGTAGGGGGTGCGGAGGCAGCAGGGCCTCTCCGTTAGCAGCTTTTCACTAAGTGAAAAAAATGGGGCCGGCCGGGGTGGGGGTGCACAATATCTTTATCAATAACACTGATCATACCAAGGGAAGAATTCTGGGCAGAACTAGAGTGTCAGCAAAAGAAAACACCTTAATCACAAATTTCCTGCTCGCTTGCAGAAGGGGCCCTGGGAAAGGGCGGCGGCCGCGAGATGCCTGCCTCCAAGAGACGTCCTGGCGTGACTGAACCCCGAAGCCACCCCTATCCACAAACCCAAATTAGGGATTCCTAAGCAATCGTAGTCCCGACCTGGCGCAAAGGCAGGACCGAGGTCTCTGGTGAGGGAACGAAGGGTGATAAATCAAAAAACATAGAGCAGCCCTTGTGCACGAAGGTACAGGAAGGCCGGCGGCCCCACTCAGAGGGGTCCCGGGCAGCCCGAGCCCAAGCAGTCTCCAAGTGGTGTAGGGCGGGTTCCTGAATTCGAGCTCGCGCGAACTTGGGAGGCAGTCCACCCCGCTGGCCCGACCGCTGCGCGCTCCCGGCAGCTCCAACGCACGCCAGCGCCGGGAGCGCGCGCGCCGGCGCACCAGCTCGGGCAGTCCGGGCAGCCCGTCTCCCAGGAAACACCAATCAGACGCCCTCTTTCAGGAAAGGGCCGCGAGCAGCCGCAGCTGCTGTAGGGCTAGGGCTGTTGGCGGTCACCGGGAGGCGTCGTACTGCCCCGCGGCGGGTCGGCCGCCTTCGCCGCTGCCACTGCCTACCCTAGCCACTTCCGCAGCCAGTCACAAAGTCGTGTGTCTCCTCGGTGCACCGCCCACGCCCAGCACCTTGCAATGCGGCTGCTAAACCTGGCTATTTTTAGATCTCAAGAATAGGTTGTGCGGGAGCTCAGTTGAAACCCAGTCAATCCACCAAACACAATGATGTGCTTCTCTTTGAACAAATATGGCTCAGAACTCCGTATTTCCCTGCATAAAGTCGATTATCTTCACTTTTTAAAGTCCTACCCCCCTGTGGTCTGGCAGTTGGCTCCAAAGCAGAAAGCCACATGCTACCACCTCAACGATGGTCATCACCTTTCTAAGGAAGTGAACTCACTCTTATGGCCCTGATTGAGGGCAGGCAGATATTCCTTAGCAGTAATCATAATCATACACTTTTCATTTCCATTCATCATCTTTAGAATTCCACAGTAAAGCCAGCAATTCCCAGAAGGGGTGAAATGGGTTCTCTAAAGAGATCAGAATGAAGGTTTCTGCTGATTTCTGTACTAGGTTAACTTGTGCTAAGAAACCAATGAACAACAAAATAAGATAACGAAGCCATCCATTAAAATCTGGAGACACTGAAAAACTACCTTACATGCTCCATCTCTGTAGGACTTGTTTAACTGTCTCCAAGTACTAGTGTTAAAACAACTGACCCAGTATTAAAGGTGACTTTTTACTCAGTAACTTCTAAAGGACACCTTGTCTCATTTGCTCATCTCACAACGTCCACCCCCAGCACCCATCCAAATGCAGCAGCATATTATGGTGTGTTTTACTTATTCTAATTAAGAAAAAGCTAAGTCACAGTTTGACAAAGTGGGAAAAGGATATGAATATTCTTAAGCCACAAAGGCATTTTCAGAGGTGCAGATACATAGGAAAAAACTAGGTATACAGATAGTCATACACTCTCTTTCATACATTTTCCAATCACACTGGAAAATAATACCTTTGACTTCATCTCTACATTTTTTAAAAGTCGAAATTCTTGAAATGCTCAACTGTCTTGAACTGTTTATATGTGTAGTCTATGAATAGAACATTTACAAACTTGATGTGTACTCATCCTTGTCTCCTTTTAAGTGGTTTCTTAATTTTCATCAGACTATACAAAATCAAATTAGAATTTCATGTTTTTCCAACTAAGAAAATCATCTTAATTTTAAAAATAAACACAGAGCACTAGTAGTAGAAATTTAGTGTTTAAGAAGACTTAAAGAAAAGCCACTTCGGAGAAATAACTCACTTTGAATGTAAATAATGCATTATCACATTACTATGCGTATTAGTGGTAACTTCACTAAGGGGCTGGTGAACATATCCATTTCATATCCTGCAAGGAAATTGTGGAAATATTCATATCTTTTTTATTTTTTTACCTCTACCCAATTTTCATTTCTGTTGTTTTGAATTTTCTGTATGACTTTTTAGGTCATATCCTTTATAATTCTATTATTGATGACTTTTCATTGTTAATTTTCTGGCATAAAGTAGGGCAAGGAAAATAAGTTGGTTATAGCTTTATATTTATTTTTACATGTGTCATTTTATCGGCCTATTTCTAAGTATTTCATGAAAAGATTCTAGATGTCAAAATCTGCAGTTAACGTTCCTGTTCAGAAATACACAAAATAATACCTTTGAGGTTGGCAACTCAGATGTATTATTCAGCAAAACAGCAATTACTCATTGTTTTGCACTTCCATGTTAAGAACTATGCGACACTTGGTGACACAACAACAAAATTGCAAAGTCAATTATATTTAAAGTAGACATCCTAATAAAACATACACAACCAACTCCTTTTTCTCTTTTTGAGCTGTTTTGTTTCCTTTCTCTGTTTACAGTCAAATAGATTATGTGAACATGAAACCTAAGTATAGTAACTTGATTCATACACATCATGAAAAAAGTTAGAAAATGGGGATGGGGACAATATAAAGGGAGGGGTACTCCTGAGGGCACCAGAATCCACCTAGGAAGGTACCAGAACATTGCATATTTTTGGAAAAGTACATCAACGATGTTCTTTTGCAATGTCAATCATAGTGGCAACTTTGAAAGGGCAGTGTCTGCCAAAATTTAAAGCAACAGTTAACCCAGATTCATACTAATAATTCTAAGCAGAACTAAAGCAATAAAACCCAAGTAGTGTCTCTTTGTATTTAAAAAGGGAGGGTTTCAGGTGGAACTAGTTGTTTGTCTATTCTATTTTAATTGCACAAGAAGCACTTTTGTAACTTGAACTTCCCAGTAATGAATTCCACTTCTCAACCCAGCCTGCAGCCTGAATTGAAGTTCCCATCAGAAAATTAAAATGTTGGTCTGGATAAAATAACTTCTAAATGAACTATTTCTTTTCGTTTCTTTTTGTGTTTTCTGCAATGTAGCCCCTCGCAATGATATTAGTTCTAGTGTGGGAAAATATTATAATTGAGATCTGGTAAGTTATTTGCAGACTTCAAGTTTTTCTTTACACTGTGCTGACATTTAGTACAGCCCTGGTGAGGAAAACAATACTACCATTCATAGCTCTAGACGTAGATTTCAATCGACTTAAGCGGGCACAATGAAACTTGGTCATTCACTGGTTACCCATATTGTGTTCTCAAATTTTCTCTCAGCAAAAGTATAATGACTCAGTATTGTATGGTTGCATAGACAAGGGCTCGGAACAAGAGACACTAGTTTTGTCTGACGGTGTGAGAAAGTCGTGAAGGGATCTTTTCTTCCAGATGGTGTTAAATTCAGCTGCCTTTTTAACATTGGCCTTGCACAGCAATCTGCTGCTCCCATTTCACAAAGACTGCACTTGGTTCCCACTAGTTAACATGCATGCTCACGCAACCTGCAACTTCACTCCAACTGTTTTACAATGCACTGGTATGCTAAATAAACTTGATCCGGTTTCTGCCAATGTTAAAACTAGCTTTCAAAGAACTACTTAACTGATATTTACACTTTTGACTTAAATGTACATTCCTTCAGAATATTTCGGATTTCAAGAAATATCACCTTTTTATAAGGTCATTGTAGAGATTACCCCAGGACACCCATCAGACCCATGCTCTGACACAATACCTCTCTTTAACATACACAAATAAAACAAAATGTCAGAAGTTTGATGTGTAATAGAAAAAAGAAAAATTAGGACATGTTGCAGCAAGAGCAGTGAAGAGCAAAAAATAAAATGAAAATAATAACATTGAAATGTATTTTTATTGATCGATAAGTCATGTAACATTAGTATGATACAAAGCAAGTTTGATATGACAATGGCAAACACAGAATTATAATATTGTTTATTTTCCTTAGATGTTGTATTTAACACATTTACATAAAAGACCAAGATGTAGGCAAAAGCTTCAGTAATTTGACTCCATTGAGTGCTTTCAGTAAACAATAGGTTTCCCCAGCAAACATCTTATTGCCTTAATTGAACCTCCTTGAGAAAGAAAACCACACACTTTGTAATGTAAATGTAATTGTAGTAGACAATGATCTAGGTAAATAGCACCCCTGGACATGAAGTAAATGAAAGGAATACAGGCACTTAACAATGAAAGGTTGTTTGCACAAACAGTGCTTCAAATGTAAATAAACAAGGGTCTTCTCAACGGTCACTACCGTAGTAAAACTTTGGCACGTGTTCAGCAGCCATATTGAGAATTTACGTTAATAAAGTCTCTCAGAGATTCTAACGGAAGTTAACAGTGGTTTTACAGGCTTCTCCAGGATGAAGTATTACAAGGACTTAGAGCAACAAAGGAAAATGTAATGCTTTTGAAGAAAAACTGTGTATTTGGGATCTGGGATTGTCAGTAATCTAAGCCACATGGAAGTAACAGGCCACTTGGGACATTTCCTATTGCAATATTTGTATTTATGTTTAAATGGTTATACATATTTTTGCTTGGTGACACATGGAAAATATAAGAACTTTTACAAAAAGAGTACAATAGGATCACCAAAATGCCAAAGTTTCTGTTAAGCAGAGTCATTTTTAGGTTAAATAGAAATGACTGTTTAGACTGCATCTCGCTGGGACAGTACCAAAACAACCTTTTACCATGTTGTTATTGCAATAAACTTTCTATAGGTTGATGATTTTATAGCTTTACTTTCCAGTGTTTGTCCACTAGCATAACTAGGCTAAATTCTTAGATCTATCATGTTAAGAGGTAAACAGCCTAATGAAGCGATAACAATGTCTATTATATAGAAATATGTATTTTTAAATATAACGCACCTAAAACAAAAGCCAAAAGGTGGTCTCAAGGCCAAAAGTACAGACTGAGAATTTGACAGGAGGAGCAGGCAGGAATGGGATTTCCTTAGAACTGCTCTTGACTAGCTTTCCTTAAATATTGAAAATCTCAACCAAAGAAGAAAGCCAAACTTAATTACGGCCAGATTAAACATTAGTTATAAAATTAACAGAAACAGACAGTATGCAGCAGCTACAGACCATTTGGTGCTGCCATTTGGGAGCCTGCAGATGGCTGTGGGTGGGAAATGCCTCTACTTTCTTAAGCGATGGAGATGAGTATGGTGTGTGCACTTCATGTTTTTTTTCATACCCCCACCCCCCAAACAGGGCTGTCTGTCATAGGCTGCCGGCCCGCTTTACCACTTGCCCCCGAGCGTGGGAATCGGAGCGTCCTGCCGTTCACATCTCCTGCATTCCGTTTATCGGAATCAATTAGGCAAGACAGACCCTCAGATTCCCCACCCCCTTTCCATTTTTGTCAGGTCTATATACGTCCTAATTATTTCAGTTTGGGATGCCAGAGCTGTTTCCTGGATAGACCTGATCATCCTTAAACAAAAAGAGAGGAGGCGCACACGTGGGTTGTTGCGTAAATGTCACTTTCATTTCCAATGCTAGGCGCAGAGTAAGACAGAACATTTTTTTAACACTTTGACAAGAGGGGAGGCGATCTCGTCTCCATCATGTCTTTCTGCTTCAGTAGCTTCCTCAAGGAAACCCTCTTGGAACAGAGAAGCATCTGTCCTTCTATTTTGAATAGAAGAATAAAAATCAGCCTTTGCTTTTATTTATTTTTTTAAATTTTTATTTGTTGGCGTTTTTCCCTGCTAGCTCAATGTCCTCATAGGTCTATTGACCTTCCAGTATAAACTTTTCTCAAAATCTAATTTCGTATACTTTGACGTACAACCCACTTGCAGTTCCCACGCATTATCTTCTAATTTTTCAAGGGAAGTGCCTCAGAAGGGAACAGCCTAAGTCTATGTACTATGGAATCATTTTTGAGCTAGCATCAAACACATCTATCTGCACAACAGCTCTCTAAGAAGAAGAAGAAACCAACTCATATATAAACTTCTGCATTAAAGTAGGACAAACTGCACATGCATCTTTACTCATTAGCACAATGCAATAATCCTTTGCAGCTGTAATAAGCCCTCACAAAGTATCTGGCATCTTTATGTTTTGGCATAAATGTATTACTTAACTTCCTCTAATCCCACCTTCAATCATAAGGAAAAACAAAAACAAAAGCAAAGTTAGATTCAGTAAGTATTCCTGACCTTTCTGGTTTTTAGTGTCTCTTGGTTGAAGTCTTTCACTCACACGCTCTCCGGCGATCTTGAAGGAGTTTTTACTTTCGGTTATCTAGCTTTATGAAGACCAATACACTCATACAGCTAGATAACCAAAGATAACAACTCACTTCCCTCATACGCCTCTGTCTTCCTCAGGCCAGACTCCACATCCCGATCTTTTCTGGCAGTACGTTAGAGTAGTCCTCCAGGGTACTTGCCGTGCATAAGATGCATCCTTGTATATAAATATGACCTGGTTTCTGTTTGTGTGTGCGGCTAAAACATCCAAACGAGATCTGTTGCTTTCAAAGTTTATTCCGAACTTTTTTTTTCTTTCAGCAAGTAATCTCCGGCAGCGTTAGCCAACAATTCATCTATTAATATCAGAAAATAAAACCAGCTATTATGGTGCAGCAAGCGGTAAAGAGTGAGCAGCAGCGTCCGTCCCTTCACAGGCCTCTATTTGCATTGTAAATTGCTTCATTCTCACGCAAGACTCTTTAGCCTCCCTCTATAGAGATGTATAAAGCCAACGGCAATTTCCAACGCAGGTTAAGGAGGAAGGAAAAAAATCCCATTCTATAGAAGAAGTGACAGCTGATTCAAGGATCTCTCCCGATCCTTTGGGGTTAGGCACCATGAGCTTTTCACCGAGCGGTGGCAGCTTGATTGCACATATCTTGTGTGTGTGTGTTTTTGGGGGAAGATCCTCGATTTCCCAGGGCGTCTAGGCTGGGAAGGAGAAGATGCCTTCTTGCTGGCGTGCTGCCCCCGGTCTGAAAGAAGGAGAAAAGGGCCATCATTGGAGGGGCTTTCACTGCCAAAATGTGGACCAGCCCGGCAAGGTCAAAGGTTCGGGACCGCGGGAGACCAAGGTAATGATGATGTCATGAGAAATCTCAAGTACACCGTTATTGATATGCATCAGTGATCAGCCAACTGCCCCACGCCTGCTGCCTGGGCAGCGGCGGCGGCGGCACTGCAACAAGCCCTATTTTCTCAATCAACATCTCTTCTGCTAGTACTACCGACTGCTCCTGGAAAAGCAACCTGCGGCCTTTTACCTCCTCGGTGCTAGTGTAGATCGCTCTAATATCCAAAGACTGGAAGAAATCTCTCTCTAAGGACAGATAAAAGCATTTCAGATCTGGGGAATGTCTGGCTGCATTTCTCTTCTGGCAGATTGCATGGGCAGACAGATGGAAGGCACTTTGCTATTGCTTAAAGCAGGGCCTTGCTTTCTGGGGCTGGGAATCAGATCTGTATTAGGCAGTGAGTCCATGTGTGATTACATTGACAATTTGCTCTGGTGGTGTGTTTTTAATGGCTTCACAACTCAGGCATACTTTGTATCTATGTGCCATGGCGATAGGGCATTGTATTATGTTCTATAAGTTCAAACCGAATGCTCTAAACATGTCGACTTCACTCCGGTTTTTAAAAAAATTAACCTATTGAGGGTGTGCTCCTTAGAATGTAGCACAGGTAAACACTGAAGCAATAGTTTCTAATGTTGAACACAACTCTGCTGTAATAAAAATGCAGAGACTTTGTTTATAGTTTCATACACAAGGACAAAATGTACTACTCTTCCTTATGAAATTGTTTAGAAAGTATTGTTACTTATTGTATTATGAAAAAGAGAGCTACAACACCTGGATGTTAAGAGCTTAACTATCCCCACCTTCCTCTTACCTACCCCCACCTTTCTTCTATCTAGAAGGGAATATTGTTTTATTAAATTATTAGTCTCATTCCTTTTCTTAGGACTTTTCAAAGTGAATATGATCACTTAAAAGAGGTCTTTTCTTCTTCTCCTTTGTAACGGGTAATCTATGTCTAATACATCTACAGTATGTACAGTTCAAATGCTCAGATGCTCCTCAGCAGAACATCTACAGGTAGAGTCCACAAAAGTTGCATATTCATCATGGGTGAACTTCACAGACTGTTTCCCAAAATTATAAGCTATGTTTGGTGGTGTTACTATTCTTCTAAATATATGCTACAAGCAAATGTCATAAATCTTTGTATTTATTTCACACATCACTAGCTTATCCCAACATTATCATTTCTATAGGTGACTATTTTCCCCAATAACAAAGAACACTTTCAGAATTAACATGCACTCTTTCATTAATTCAGTTTATTCATTTAAGACATGAGTATATGTTTACCAAGTTATATGTAGAGCACACATGTAAATCATATAGAAAGACTGACAAGAAAACCAGAATTGCTCAGAAAAGCCCTCAATTAAGAGTTCAAACATCAATATTACACCAATTAAAGATAAAGTTTAGTAGAGATGCCAATGCTTCCCTAGATTATTTTATTAATTTCCTTTTTTGGTGACCATTCTTGTCCTGATTATTTATAAAAGACTAAGATACAGAAATCACTCATCTATATTTCTTATCAACTTCTGGCACAAGAAGTATGATCAGAAATGGCTGCATTGGATTATACATAAAATATATATGCAAACTACAAAGTAATTCAGAGAACACACTCTTCCTTCTTGAACTATAAGGTCACAACATAAAGTATTGGATAAGAAGAGAACACATCACTGAGACATATGCCACTTTTGACATCATGTAAAACCCTAATGAGCTTTGCTGCCTTGGAAGATTGAGAGTATTTTGGCCTTGCTTTCCAAGACCTAGAAGCAGAATCATTAGTGATTTGGCATGTACTACATAAAGCAAGCATATGATCAGATGAAATCAATTCCTTAAGTCAAAACCCCAAGAAATACCAGATATTTTTAGATTTCCCTTTTTGCTTTATATATATCTGGGTGAGGGTTGGTAAAAATAGAGCAGTATGATGCATGTAAGTCTTATGTGTATCACTCCTATATTTGTGTGAATTTGCAAATTAATGTGGCTATATTTCCACACTCAACAATTAAATGCATTTTCAGAACCCAAGTAACTATCAGGAAAGCCAAGACACAGAACATTTGAGATGCTTCTATAGTTAGAACCTCCAGAAGATACTGTCTTAAAATAGCATCTTCTAAGGCAATGCCACATACTCATATCAGCTGACTCCTGGACTGGCTCCCATGCCTGTCACATATACCACAGATTCACTATGAGAGCTCCCAAGAGTGAAAATAACCAACATAATGATTATGAGTAGTCTATTTGTTATGTAGTAGTCTATTTAATAGAACCAATTAAATATTTTACCTCTCCATCATTTTTCAACGTAGAGACATAAAAAATACATACCAAGGCTTAATACTGAGTATCTGATTATTCTGAATATTGCCAAGGTCTGTGGTTTAGCAATACAACCAATATATTGTGGTTTCTTACATACATTTCAAGAACTGCATTATTGTGTCGAATATGAGACAAGAACAAGTTGAAACAATCGTATTACTCTAAAGATTCCTAGCATTGTCTGCCATATATTGTTATGAGCAACTATTGACACTTACATGTTTTTAGTTCAGATATTTTTGTTTTTCAAGAAGTATTTAGCCAAGTTAGAGAATATTCTTTTTGAAATCTACATATTAAAGAACATATTGAATTCAGAAGGCTTGCCTGCTCATTCTCTAATAAATTCCTATTAATGACCAATAGATTAAGACGTGATTGTCATGCTTGTTTTCTAATCTTTTTATAGGTCTCCAGATGGCTGAAACATGAATTGAAACATCCTGATTTTCTTAGGAATAAACAATCTGTTTAAATTAAAAAAGGAAAAGTTATGATTTTCCACATTTTTGGATGAGAATTTGTCTGTTCCATAAATGCAAAAAACATTTTGCCACTACTATTCAGTACACCTCTCTGAATTTTATTCACACTACTGCAAAATATATAAAGAACTGACCTAACACTAAAATCCCTCTTTAATATTGAGCTTGTATGATTCTCGGGCATGTAAACCACAGTCTACTAATACAGGCAAGACTACCATTTTCTACATAAAAGCCATTTAATTGACAGCGATGTGTATAGTTCAGGCAAGGTACTTGACTGGCTTACTTTCTAGTCAAAGTATCCTATTATTTCCTTTGTATCCAAGTTTCACTTTTATAGGCAGTTACAGATTGTTTGCATTATCCTTGATGTGTAATATACAAAGACTATCTGCAGGAAAAAAATTGCACATGTGAAAACAGATTTTTCTGGAATTGCATCTATTGCCATGAACTGGGATATATGCAATACACTGCAGGCCTTCCACCTAGTAAAAATACTCTATTTTGATTTTTTAACATCATTTTGATTTTATCAAATGTAAATTTTAAAATTACCTTTGGTTGGTTGGATTGTCTATTCATTTTATGCTTCTTTGTAGTCTCTTCTGAAAAACAGTCAAGAAAACAAATGATTAGAGGGTTAATATACTGCAAATATATATGTGATCATGCCTAGAATTGGCTTTATTTAAGATACAGCAATTACTATGAGTCTTCAAAATGCCAAGAGATTCCAGAAAACCCAGTACCATGTATCCTGGGCCTCAGCACCCACAGGGTTAAATATGCTAATTTGCATTTAAATAGAGACATGCATGATAATAGGAATGCAAAATATGAAGAATCTGGAGGGGTTTGGGAAATTAATTTTTCTTTCTTCTTTTCTTTTATTTTTAGCTTGCAAGGAAGAGAGACTTTTAAGAAACATTAAGGATTTGAACATTGTAACCTGCCATATAAAAGAGAAGAGAGTTCTTACGTGTAAGAATTTTAAGACTGGAACAGTCATCTTTTCTAAATGTTTAAGGGACTGAATTTCCAGGCCTTTCAAACAATGGGAATCCCTGAATAAATATCTAATCCATTAAAAAGATGCAAATAGTTTACTGTAAGGCCACAGCACGGTGAGATGTGCTTTCATATCTATGGCTCCTGATTGGCTATTTCCTTCAGTAAATCAATGAATAATGTAAAACCTGATTGCTGTAAAGTGGTGGATTTTTTTATTCTCTTCCCCCATCCCCCACGACTCAATATTCAAGAATTCTTACACTCCCAAAAATAGCTTTTCTTTTATCGTTTTTTTTTTTTAATGCTTATCGTTATTTTGGAGTGGCGGGGTGGGGCTATTGGTTTTGCAAAATGAAAGTACTGCTCTGGTTTTATTATGCTGATTATGGGAGCTTGTTTCTGAAGACAGCGTCCTAATTAGTGGTGTCAAGGTGGGGAGGGAGGGTGGCGGGCAGAGGTAGGCACCAGGAGAGGGAGGAAACTGGAAGCCACCCAGCCATTCTGGGCCCAAGGCAGCCACAGCTCCAAAAGAGCTCCGGCCGTGGCCGTGACTTGACAGGGCCTCCTGTCTAACTTCCATCAATTCCACTGCTTACCTGACCCCACAAGACTGTCCCCATTCAAGCACGGCGGGTACACATTTGCAAGAGAAAACGCGCAGACTCTAATGCAAATCTACTGCCTGGTTCCCACTGCCCAGGGTTCCCTCAGAAAATTTCAGGCCACGGAACGAAGGTCTCGCCTCCCTCAGCGGGGTCGGGGCTCCAAGCAAACAGCAGATACTTGGCTCTGCTCGGATGCCAGAAGCTTCTGAAGCTAAAACGTACCAGATCCCACAATGAACCACTATGGTTGCACTTGATGAATCCGAACTTGGGATAACCTTGTGAAACGGCCTCTCGCCTCCCAAAATCCAAACGGAAAAAATAAAAAGGAAGTGGAAATCCAAGTCTAGTTAGCTACTGCACATAACTTTGTACCGGCATCCAATCAGCCCCTCACTTCATTGCCAGGTAATTGCAACTTTGAGATGGTTAAAAGATTTAAAATGCGAATCCTGAATTCAGGAACGCAAAATACAATTGTATTTGGCTCCAGATTTAGGTGAGAAAAGTCTCAACACGAACAACACAAAATTACATTCATCATTCCCCGATACAACGCGAAATTTTCCTGGCATCTCTGCAATTGGGGGTGAGGCCACTGGATAATTAACAGTCCTGGCTCAGGCAACTCACGAGATCAACAGGTTTAGCATCCGAGCCACACAGTCAATTAGCTGAAGCAAAGCCCGGCCTGGCTCTCGGAGCGGCCGGCAACGGGGCTCTGTGGGTAACGGAGCACCGGCTCGCGGGCGAGGTGACGAGCGCCGGCGCGGGGCCGCAGCAGGCACTGCTGGCCCCTCGCCGCCGGCCGAGGTGCCGCCTGCGGGCCGCCAAGATACTCACTTGTTCTCCCTGCGTCAGGCAGTGTTGCCCCCAAATCCAGCTGGTCGGGAATCGAGGCACCGGCCAGAAGACAAGATCCACAGTAACAGGGCGGCTGCAGTACACAAACAGCTTCTTTCGGCGTCTCAAAAAAAGAAAAAAAAATTCAGCTCATCCCTCTCTTTAGCACATTTAAAACTGCCGCTCAATTCCACACAGTGATTCTTGCTTGATTGCGTCTAAAATAGTTTAAACGGGTCTTCCCTTCTGGGGTGAGAAATAAGGGGGCAAAAGCCCAAGGAGGAAAAAAAGCCAACTTTTACCCCCCGCGCCAGGCACTTGCTCTCTTAGCCTCGGAGTGGAGAGTGAAGTGGTGTGTGCGAGGCTCGGCAAGTTTTTGGGGGGGCTGTCCAAGGTCTAGTCCAGCCCCCTCTGCCGAGGAGGACGTGCTTAGAAACTCAACCAATTTCCCCACTGCTTTTGTTGCTGATGAACTGAAGCCCTATTGTTCATCCATTGCCACGGTCTTTTTCAGTCCCCACACTACGTTCTGCGTTGCCAGAGATAATGAATTTGCACCCAAACCTCTCATAGTCCCTTCCTGACAGACGGAACAAATTAGAAATGTCTCGTCTGAAGGAGGGCAGTGGCTACATTTTCCTATTGTAGGATGCAAAACACACATTTCTTTGGAAACTTCTTTTGCCTTTTCTACCTTTTATTTTATTCTCCCTCTTTTTCTTTTTTCTTTCAGGATTTTTTCCCTCTTGATTCTTTAGACTTTTTTTTCCCCAAAGAACCCGTCTTGTTTGTCCAATGCACCATTTTATGTAACTTGTGTATCTTTTTTACCTTCCTTCCTTCTTCCCTCTCCTTTCTTTTTTAAGGACTCCCTTCGCAATTTTATTTACAAACTTGGAGAATGACCTTTTGACTTGCATACTTTTTTTTTTTATTTAAGAAAGGTCTTTTGGTTCAAGTCCCCTTACCTCACTACTCCCCCTTTTTGTTGTGGTCGTTAACTGTGTTTGGCTAAAGAGAAGCAATATATTATAAGGATTTTTATTCTTTAAACTTAACAGCTATTCAAAGGGCACCAGGGACGCGCCATAGGGGTTATCTATTTGATGGAGAAGAGAAAGCGAGTGTATGTGCGCGCGCTTGTGTGTGTTAAACAGGGAGAGGCAGAGCGATGGGGGGGGAGTGTGCAGAAAGAGAAGGGTGGGGGCTTTGAGAGGAAGGTGGGCTTCCTGTAGCGCGAGCGGGGAGGCTGTCAGCGGTGTAGGCGCGAAAGGGAGGGTGCAAGAATCCTTCTCTCTCAGACGGCTTGCACCCCCAGGCCTATTCGCGCGCCCTGCCCGCCGCAGCTTGGGCGCGGGTGTCTGCGCGCGCGGGAGCTTGTACCGAGCGTGCGCGCGTGCGACCGGTGGCGGGAGGGAGGGGGGCGTAAAAATTCAGGCGAGGGGCCCGTATGTAAATGTAACCCGGGGGGAGCTGGGAGGAGGTAATGAGAGCCGCGGGCGCTCAGCCCCGCTGGCGGCCCCCAGCTTTCCCGCCAAGTGCAGCCGGAGGACAGACAGCCATGCGTGTCCTTGTCGGGAGGTCCCTAGCCCGCCGCGCGCGCCCGCCCCCACGCACACGCACACACTCCCCTCGCAGGCGTGGGGCCCTGTGGCCACGAGCATGTCAGGAAAACAAAGCTAGCGCTGCGAGGTGGAACGAAGAAACGTCAGCGTTGGCGGCCGAGGGCAGGACAGGGAAGCCGACACTGCGGCCTCCAGCGCCCCTTCCCTGCCAGCCTGCGGCTCTGCCCTCCGCCCCCGGCTCCGCTCGGCTTCGGCCCAGAAGAGGCCGCGGATCATTTCTTAGCTGCCTAGGAGAACCAGGAGAGCAGAGACGGGGGCGGATGTGCACAGGGAGGTGCCAGCGGCCCCCCGCCCGGTGCGCAGGCACGCACACGCTGGCGCGCTGGGCCGTGGAGGGAGGGAATCTGAAGGCCGCCCTGCTGAATAGCCGAGAGCCGTTACCTCCTCGCTGAGGCGGCTGAGCTCCTAGTGAAACCCACACCAGGCTCAATCCCGCAAGGCACCGCCCCGGGCTGCGGCCGCGGAATGGCTCGCACCTCAAGCTTTCTCCCCAGACAATGTAATCGGAAGGGCCTGGCTGTTCAGAGAGCCTTTTCTGCCTCCCCCCCGCCACCAGACGCCCCCCTCAACCTTCAAACGGGTGAAACTCGAACTCCAGCCTAGGAGCTCTGGCCTAGATGTTCCCGCAGATAAGTCCCAGAGGTAGCCGTGGAGAGACACCGATCTCTGTTTCATCTCGCTCGCAGCGCCTGCCTCGGTGCTCAGCAGCCCAAGCACCTCCCCAGCGCGCGCACACACACACACACACACACACACACACACACACACACGACACGACACTCCCATCACACCAAAACGCACGCTAAGGGCTCGGCTGTTAATGAAGCCGACGCACATAATGAGTGCACAGGTAAATAGGTAACGAAACGAGAAGCCCCCACCAGCCGGCTGGGCGATTTACCTCTCCCTACTGGAAACACGTGTAGCCTATGTTTTAGGAGTGATTTGCTGTTGTCTGAGGTCTCCTCCTCTTCTGGTGGAGACAAGCAAAAAAAAAAAAAAAAAAAAATGTTCCATTGTCATAGTCTTCTCTTTGAAAGCTACCCAAGCATTGGTCTCAAACATTTGGGGATTTGGTTTGGTTTGTTATCTGTTGTTTTTGGTTTGTTGTTGTTTTTGAGTGTGTTGCTTTTCTGAGGGAAGCAAAAGAACATGTAGTTGGTGGGGTAGGAGGTGCAGGACAGGAGCCTGCATGTGCGGCCGAAGGCTGGCGAGGCTGGAAGTCGGGCGATGGAGATTGGAAGCGGCCGCTCTTCCTCCCCCAGGGTCGACAGGGCCCCCTTTTGCCCCCTCGGGCCTAGGCTTGGCCACTGTCGCTGCCGCCGCCCGCACTAGCGAGCTCCGCCGGCTGCCGCTCCGTGTTTTCCCCCATCCCGGCTTCACGTTCAAGGTTTAGCTGCGAGGTCACGTCCATTGACGTCAGCTCCCTGTCTCCCTCTACGTCCGGCTACATTTACATACATCAAGGAAATTAGGGCATTAAAAAAATATGCAAATCCTGCACGAAGAGGAGCCGGTGCATTCCTGGCGCGATCGCCTTTTATTGAAGCTTTTAATTAAAGGGGCCAGTTGGCGAGCCCCTGAAACAACCGCCAAAACCCCCAAAAGAGAAAAATAAACGCTGTAGCCTTCTGGAACGGTTGTTTCGGCTCCTGTTCTCTGGGCGGCTGAGGACCGCCGGCTGCCCGGCTCGGAGAAGAACAGGTTAGAGGAGGCAGCTCCAGCCCATGCATAATCAGGGCTCCGCGGCGCCTCCATTCTTTCCTCCTCCTCTCCTCCTCCTCCTCCTCCACCTCTCATCCTCCTTCTCCTCCTCCTCCTCCTGCTCCCGCTCCTGTTGGTTCCAGCGTGTATTATTTTTAATACCGATGCATATGTAAAGCTATATTTGCATTTTTTAATTCGCGAAAAGTTCAGGTTGTATCGTTTTATTGATTCTCCCCTCCCCCTCTTTTTTTGTTTTTTGTTATCTTATTATGTCTGTCTGTCTTATCCCTTTCTGTCTGTTTTTATTTTTTGGCGAGTGTCTGCTGCTGTCTCTTGCTATATAATATGCACAATTGCCTCCTTGCATCTGTTTATTTAAGAATCCAAATATGCACCTCTGTCATGTATGTAATACCAGCTGTATAACCTCCTGGTTTGGTCATAAAAGAAAAGACACATTAAAATTTTTTTTCCTGACATAACCCCTTCATCAGCTGTAATGCCATCGCTCAAGGCTCAAAGTTTGATTGTCTAATTAACTTATTAGCAAACACAGTTCGGGCCATTGCATTTGAAACAATGTCTGTATAAAGGGAAGTGACTCCAAAGAATTATAAAGAATTTGTGTGCTGATTAAGTGAGAGGTGTGGCATTTACCTCACTATTGCTTTCTAGCATTTCTTACTGCAAAAAAAAAAAAAACTATTTTAAAATGTGTAGACACAGCAACGGACAGCCTTCTGCAAGGAAGACATTTTCAACCATGTTGTATGTTGTACCTTATCTACTGCATTCAAAATTAACTGAGTTTCATTTTTATCTTAACATGGCTGGAAACAAGGCACATTATCTTGATTGAAAAGCATCCTTAATTCCTGACTTTGTAATGAAAACAAATAAACAAAACGGTTGACTATATTAAGCCAGTTGATTTGCCCTAAAATAGACAGGCCTTGAGTTAGATTTCAAGCAATAGTTACCTGGTTTATGGGGTCGGTTTTCCTTCCTGGCAGTATATCTATTCAGCACAATGGCTTTTGAAAAATCTATATATATGAAGTCCACTTTTTAAATTCCCCCCAAGCTATCACTTTTAAAAGGCTGAATTTATAATTGCATAGCCACAAAGAACAGCAAGTGATGCACACATGCAGCTTATTCAATTAAACAAGTTCAAGTACATGCATAGGTAATTAGTTTTCTTATGAATGACTTACCTGCACAGATACTCAGGGCAAGACTCGGCCCTCCCCAGTGGCTTTCATGTATAAATATTAATATGTATTTTCCCCCATTTTAAACCTACAGCTGCATGCCATCTTTCATGTTGGACTATCCAGCATCCATTTTTAGCACCCTTAATTCTTACGGTATTTCTAGCCTTACCTCTGGCTGTAGTTTTTCCAAGCCCACATCAAAGTGCTCATATGATGTGTCACCCAATAAAAAGTGGTCAGATGGCTACACGAAAAATATTAAAAAACGGAAAAACACTCATCCTTTAGGTTTGCCCTATACAGCAAGATTATGTTTCCTAAAGTACATTTTCAGAACGTTCTATGAATCAAAGGATTCCACAGTTGGTTGCAAAATTGAGGGTTTCTGGGAGGGCACCTGGATGAGTGAAACAATTCAGCAGGTTAAACATCTCTTCGAGTTTGGCAGCAATTCAATCGTGCGTGGCGGTTTGTTCTGCCTGGACTCTTGCACACACCTGCCCGCCTGTATGCAGGGATCAGAACAAACACACCGGCCACGTTGCAGGGCATATAGAGTGGCGATGCATGTATTTAGATGGTAGTAGCAAGGAATGTGTTCATGTACGGATGTCTCTGCATGCATGTGTGTACAGAGGCGTGTGTGTATGTGTGAGTGTGTGTGCGCGCGCGCGCGCACTGTGACAAGGGACATAGAGAGGTACACCTCTTATCTCTGATCTCTCTGTAATCTCCTTTTCTCTTTCTAATCTCCCTTATTGGTGCCTGGTGGTAACCTGAAGCATCTGAACCGTCACCGTCACTGCCGTGTGCACGCTGTAGCTTACCCCGGGGACCGGTGGCTTGGTGGCTCGCTGGTTCGGTGGGTGTTGTGGCGGAGGGTGGGTAGCGGCTTTGCTGCCGACGCCGCCGCGGGTCCCGGTGGTCTGTCCCAGCCTGGCAGCAGAGCGCGCGGTGCCAGAGCCCCCTCCCACCCCGCCCTCACCCCCATCCTCCCCTCCCCTCTCCTCTGCGCCTCCCCCCGTCTCCCCCCCACCCCGGCCCAGCATTACCATACCGAGGCCGAGTTTCTGCGAATCACAGCAGCAGCGGGCAACGTTTGAATAAGCCCCGCAACCTCGCGCAGACCCCAACTCCTGCACAGCAGCGTGCCCTGAACGAAAGGCCACCACTCCGGCCCGTCATCTGGCCGCGGCCGACACCTCCCCAAAGTGCCCTGGGCGCGTCCAGGAGAGAGGTGCTGGGCCTCCCATTTACTACTTTTATATTAACTTGACTGATGGGATCAGACAATAAATAGGGGGAGGCAGACGGAGAAATGACGGGTAGGGAGAGAAGAAGAGGGGAAAAGGAGAAAGGAGAGGAAAGAAGAGAGGCACTGTCGGTGGGGCTGCGAGGGGTGAGAGGAAGGCAGAGGCCGAGGAGGGGGAGAAAGTGGGAGAAAGAGTCCACAGGGTGTGTGAAAGAGGGGGTGAAGCAGGGAGGGTTTAGGGGAACGAGGGGAGGGGGAGAGAGACCCAA